GGCTGTAAACACAGAGAAAGTTTCTCTGGCTTTCCCCTGCTCACCTCCTGCTGCCTGGCCTGGTTCCTAACAGGCCACAAACCAGTACTGGTCCATAGCCTGCAGGGTGGGGACCACAGTACCAAATAATATCAGTATGTCTTTTGACTCAGATTCTTAGAGTAACTGCTGTGTTACAGCCAAATCTCTAATTATTTTATCCTTGGAAGAACTTTAGTTAACACTTTTATCCCATATGACGAGTAAGGAGATAATTTGCATTTTCTCAAATGCTTATTCTGTATCTCTATTAATATTTACACTCATAATGGATGTTATTTCATCACTCGTAATGAAAAAAATGAAGGCAGGAGCTTCTGAAAGAAAAGTGAGAAGAAAAATTGGTTGAATTTTAAAATCAATGATTTTGTATTCAACTGTGTTTATCATTTTAGGAAGCTAAGTTTTTAGTCTTTAACCATATGAGTGCCAAATCTTAGTTAAATTTTAAATGTAAATACAATATTTTCTTTGTATGGAAGTTTGAAAAACACTTACAAATCTTCTATGTGGCATATGTTGACTGATTAAAGCATGTTTACTGAACAGCCCCTGAACTATGAAGCCACTCGCCAAGTGGTTTTGAAAATTGGCGTACTTAATGAAGCACAGTTTGCAAAAGCAGCAAATTCACAAACTCCTGCGATGTGTACAACAACTGTCACTGTGAAAATTAAAGACAGAGATGAGGGTCCTGAATGCAATCCAGCAGTAAAAGTCATTCAGAGTACAGATGGCGTCCCCGCTGGCCAGGAACTCCTAGGATACAAAGCCCTGGACCCAGAAACACGCAGTGGGGAAGGCTTAAGGTAATTTATTTTCAAAAAGCTCCTTGATGAAAATGTATCTTAAATTTAGGAAAGTTCCATGTATTTTTCAAAATGACAAATTTTAAGATTATGTTCCCTTTTTGGTTTGATCGTTTACATTTGATTTCTAAAAATTCAGGTATAAGAAGTTAGGAGATGAAGATAACTGGTTTGAAATTAATGAACACACTGGCGACTTGACAACTCTAAAAAAACTAGACAGAGAATCGAAATTTGTAAAAAACAACCAATACAATGTTTCAGTCATTGCAATGGATGCAGGTGAGTGCCATTTTCTAGAAATAAAATATAAATATAGGATATGTACCTTGGGGTGAGATGTTTATTTCCAGATTTAAACAATATTTGCATTGTTATTACTCATTTTCTTGAAGAACACCCAATTTAGGCTCCAGCGCATCAGTAATGCAAAGCGGTGAGGTGGTGTGCTTAAGGCTTCAAGGATCTTATATGTGATTTAGTTTCTGCTGAGGAAAAGGTGGGGTACTTCGAGATCTCCATGTTTTTCAGAAGTACAGGTTTAGGTTATTGTGACTGGAACTTACTGCAAGGGTTCTACCTACCTACGGCAGTTGGGTTCAATGTAAATTTGTTGTGAGCTTAATGAAAAATCATTTATCCTACTTCATAAAGAAATGGTCAAATAATGACTCAAATCCTTTGCTATGGTTTGCAACCTCTCTTCAAGGTTGACACTAGAACCTATTCTGTAAAGAATAACTTCCACATATAGTGAAGTCATGATCTCGAAACCCCTTGAACATATACTACTATCAATAAAACCATTTATAACATGCTTAAATATATGTATTAATAGGTTTAACAGGTTTGTTAGTATGTTTATATACATGTGCTACAATGCTAACATACTGTATATATCATAAAAATACACATCATAGATATTAAAGAGATTGATTAAAAATAAATAAAATTTACACTATTTCATTTTATCACATCAATTACATACATACCCATGTGAGACAAATTGCCCTAAATAATAAAGATAAATTAATCTGGACAACATAGTGAGACCCCATGTCTAAACAAAGAGTAAAAATTTTTCTAAAAAATTAGCCAGGCTTGGTGGTGTACATTTGTTGTCCCAGCTATTTGGGAGGATTCCTTGAGTCCAGGAGGTCTAAGTTACGTGGGCTATGATCATACCACTGGACTCTAATGATAGAGCAAGGTAAACAGCAAAAAAAACAACAAATGAAGAAGTACTACAACAACAACATATTAATTGCACTAAGGTGGGAGTGCAAACTTGTTTTTTGGCTTATCCAGTTAAATTTTTTCAAGTATTAAAAATGATAAATGTATTATGTTCCATGTGTTAGTATGGAGTTATAGTCAGCCAAGAAACAGCGGGCAGATCACTAGGTTGTCAAGGTGAATAGGACGGACTTACTATTGTTCCCAGTGTGTTCACAGTCCAGTGTGTGAGCCAAGGGATCAGCAAACCAGTCTGAGAAAAGAGAAGCACAGGCTATCACTGTCTGCAGAAGTCATACGTTTCATTAGGAGGTGACCTTTGAGTAGATTCTGAAAGACAATAGGGTTTTATCTGGCAAAGAAGAGGAGAAAAGTATGCTTGGCAATGGCCTCGAAATGTGCCAAAGCAAACAGGAAGAAGTTCACCTGGTGGGATTAATGAGAAGTTTGATAAAAGAACATATGAGGAGAATAAGAGAAGAATAAGAGAAGTTTGAGCAAAGAATATGTGAGGAAAAGGAGAAGATGCTGAGGGGACTGATAGCTACATGCTGAGGATTTGTATTCTTAGGGTGAATATATGCTATTCATAAATAAAACGGTAAGAAAATGAATTCTATATACAACAAGTTAATCTATAGTGACATTCCCGATAACCTTTTAGTTCTGAAAATCACCTGAAAGAGACCGTCTGATCCCACCTCCAATCTTCAAGGCAGAATGACACATCACTATTTTGTAGTAATGGTGTCTGAGATCTGGGAATCATATGTGCAAAATCAAGTTCAGACAGCTAGTAGAAAGTAGGTGTCAACTGTTACTATACAGGGTGGCCATAAATTCATGCGCAATTTAAAATAGACTGCCACCCGGTATAAACTGTTGAAAATAAACACATTTTTCACTAAAGAAATAACCTACTTGTAATTGATCTTAGCTGGCCGATCTTGCACTGGAACCTTAGTAGTTCATTTGGAAGATTATAACGATCACCCACCCCACATTGATAAAGAAGTGACCATTTGTCAGCAAGATAAGGATTATGCTGTTCTGCAACCTATCGATGAAGATGGGCCTGAAAATGGTCCACCTTTTCAATTTCTTCTGGATAATGCTTCCAGCAGACTATGGACTGTAGAAGCAAAGGATGGTATGTAATTTTGCTAAGTCTTGTGATCAACAGGGACTCAAGATCGATGATGACCTTAACTTTCACTTTAGTTTATCATAATAGCTACATATTTGTTTTAGGAAATTATCGTATTGGCCCTAAGAGAAGGATAATCACTTTCTTTTAATAAAATTAATCTAGTTATGGTAAGCTTAGACTCTTCTTCCAAATCTTTTATGAAAAATTATGCCGGGCAGTACCTGTAATTCAGTGGGTAGAGCGCCGGCCCCGTATACTGAGGGTGGTGGGTTCGAACCCAGCCCCAGCCAAACTGCAACAATAACTAAAAAAGCTGGGCATTGTGGAGGGTGAGGCAAGAGAATCGCCTAAGCCCAGGAGTTGGAGCTCGCTGTGAGCAATAAAAAAAAAAAGAAAAGAAAAATTATGTTCATTTTCAGTTAACCTTCAAGTAGTATCTAATAGAGCGTAAAACACATTGTCAATTATTTTTTCCAGGTTTTCTGAGAAGTCAAAATTATTTTTAAAAAATAAAAATTAACCATTTGAGTATTCTAGATTAATTTTTCCCAGAAGAATATTGAGTAGGAATAAGATTGCCATGGAAAGGTCATATCAATAGCCAACTATTTTAAATTGCACACGAACTTTATGGACACCCTGAATTCTCTCTCTTTTATCCCCCCCCAACCCGTAGGTAAAACCGCCATTCTTCGTCAACGGCAAAATCTTGATTATGACTATTACCCTGTGGTTATGCAAATAAAGGACAGACATGGTTTAGCTGCAAAACATGTGTTAACAGTGAAAGTATGTGACTGCATAGCTCCATCTGACTGCAGAATGACTGAAAAGAGTGTGAGAGACGTTCAGCCACCCAAAGTGATTCTCGGAAAATGGGCTATTCTTGCCATGGTGTTGGGTGCTGCCTTACTGTTATGTAAGTATATTAAGTATAATTATTTAGAATGTGTCAGATGAAATTTTATCTCATGTGTTTTAAATGGCAGCTCTTTTTACGGGTGATATTTGCCCCCTTGGCAAATGTGTCCTTCTGGATTTACTTTGTGACTTGAGGTTCTGAATCATGAAAAAACTTACCAGTAGAATAAATTCAAAGTAAACAGCAGATGAAACCAGCAGATTAAATCGAAAGTAAGTTTCAGAGGTGGTAGCTTGAGTTCTTCAATAATCAGGGGTAAGGCATTAAATCATTTCCTTGTCTTTGAAATGATTTTTCCATATGGAAAATGAAGAAGGTAGATAAAATTTAGATTCCTTCTCATGTAAAATGCCATAATTTTTCTAACAGCTAAATTTATTTAGAGAATATCTAATTATAAAAAAAATTAGTAAAAGTAGCTTGTCCAAAAACTTGCTCTGGTGTTTGTAAAGTGATTCAGCAAACAATGTAAAAAAAGAAATAAAAAAACTCAGGAGTGAAAAATGGGCACATGAGCCACAGAGGAAAAGTAATGCGTACAAAGAGTGCTGAGATTTTGAGTCCTGAAAACTGTTACTTGGAGGTGCAAAATAGTAGCAATATTGAGCTACACTTAAGCTTCCTTCCTTCTTTCTTTTCTTCCTTTTCCTTTCTTTCCCCTTCCTTCTCTCTTTCCTCCCCCCTAGTTTCTCTCTCTTACTCTCAACTTTTCTCATACTTCTTGACTACAAAGGTCCCATTTGCATTTACAGACTTTACCCAGAGTCTTCACTGTGTCTGAATTCGTTGATCTAAGTTTCAGGTTAAACTGGCTATTCCTCTTAGCACTGTGCTAGTTAATGTCGGCTTTCAAAACCAGACATGAGTTTTATGCAGTTGCCCTTCTTGTTTGTATTTATGCCTAATGTGTTTTATTTTGTTGTTCTAAGCCCTTTAAATGTGATTTTAAAGACCAATAATGCTGTCTTAAATTTCAGTCAAAGGAAGTTAGCATTTCAATGTATAAGAAATAAAAAACACATATAAGTTAATTCTGGACCTAGAAAGGAGGCTATTATGTGTCTCACTAAAACAGAGATAGTCTGTATACACTGTCTAAAATTTTGTTTTAAATTGTATGACCTAAAGACATTTCAATTTATGGAATAAATTTTTAAAAGTTTTACAAAGAAACATTTCAAAAATCATTTAAAAATGACTTAATGTGTATTAGCATGAAAAATATTGATCCTTTTTTATTTTTTAGGTGTTCTGTTTACGTGTTTCTGTGTGACCACTAAGAAAGTAGTGAAAAAATGTTTTCCAGAAGATGTAGCCCAGCAAAATTTAATTGTATCAAATACTGAAGGACCTGGAGAAGAAGTGATGGTGAATCAGATTTCACTTCCCTTTGAGTTGTGTGGTGACCCAGGGATGACAGTTTGATTATTCTATAATAATAGCCATAGATAATAACCGTTAATGTTTATTGAGCACTCACTATGCTAAGCATAATTCCAGTTGCCCTGATGTTTTAAATGATTTAAATATTACAATTCTATTGCAGCATAACCATGCTCCCTTAAAGGAATTAGAGTTGGATCTGTTCCAGGACTGTCTCCTAGCTTTCGGCATTGCCTTGGTTTATGGCAACATAAATCAAATCATCAAATGGCATTCTCCCTGTGTACTTGTCTGTGTCCAAATTTCCCTTTTTTTTTTAAAATAAAGGCACTGATTAGATTAGATTAGGGACCCACGCTAAACCAGTATGACTGCATCTTAACTGACTACATCTACAATGATCCTATTTCAAAATAAGGTCTGTTGTCATGGGGTTTAGGCCTTCAACATAGGCATTTTGGGGAGATATAATTGAACCCATAATACTTATGATATTATTATTCTGATTTTACACACAGTAGAACCTCCACAGTTACCACCTCCCTACATTGACCACCTCCTTAAGTTGACCTAATTGTCATAGACGAGACATGCAGCACACGAATATATTAGTACAGTAGGCCTAGTTCCTTGTGCTGACCACTTCTGCATGTTGACTGTTGCTGCAGTCCCTTGGGTGGTCAACTTACAGAGGTTCTACTGTATAGGGAACTGAGAAGCATAGAAGATAAATGTTTTGCCTATGGTGGGAAGAAATAGAAAACAAATTGTTTTTTATTTCAGTTTTATTTACTCATTTTGTAATTTTAATTTCACTTTTAGGAAGCAAATATTAGACTCCCTATGCAGACCTCGAACATTTGTGACACAAGCATGTCTGTTGGTACTCTCGGTGGCCAGGGAATCAAAACACAGCAAAGTTTTGAGATGACCAAAGGAGGCTACACTTTGGATTCCAACAAAGGAGGTGGACATCAGACCCTGGAGTCCATCAAGGGAGTAGGGCAGGATCCTGGCAGATACACATACACGGACTGGCAGAGTTTCACTCAACCTCGGCTTGGTGAAGTAAGTGCTAATGTCTTCAAGTTCATGTTACGTGAAATATAAATGGTAGATATCAGTCAGGATTTCCCAAGGATTGTACTCGTCATACACCTTGAGCTCATCACATTTTTAATGTTGAATTATCTAGACATGGATGTCAGGTCTATCTCAAAGAGGAAAATGATCTTTTAAAGTTCAACTTTTAAAATAGGGTTTACAAAACTATCTATAAGTGGGATATGTAGGTGTGTTTAGAAAAGATAAAAGTGATAGCTTTTCCCTTAAAATTACCAGGAAATCCAGGTGGATTAAAATATTTATTATAGAGGAATGAATGGATCATAAATTATAATAGATTAAATTAAATTATTTAATTTATATAATTTAATATAATTAAATTATTAATTAAAATATAAATATTTTATAATGCGGTTATGAAGTCCTGACTATTGAAATCAACAAGATAGAGATTGCTAAGCTTTATTTTGGGTTTTAGTTCCTTGTTTTATGTTCAAGTTAATCAGTATATGTTGATATTAGACAGTTTAATATATTCTACTTTTATAGGAATATAATAGTGCACAAACATAAGAATCATAGCCTGTATTGGTTTTCCTCAAATATGTGAAGAAACCACAGGTAAATTTCAACTATACGTGTCTCAGGGTGAAATGGGAAAGGAGTTAGTTTTAGGTCTCGGCGTAACCTTTGTGTTCATTAATGTGTGCGCCAGGAGCGTTGATTTACTTGCTATCCTTTACGAATGACTGTAATAGAGACCAATCATGTGCGTTTTTTATATGTAGGAATCCATTAGAGGACACACACTGGTTAAAAATTAAACAGTAAAAGGTAAATCAAAGATATCATTTTTATGCTACTATGTTTAGGTGTTTTTAAAAAAAATAATAAACTGTGCTCTTTTCCGATACAGAAGGTGTATCTGTGTGGACAAGACGAGGAGCATAAACATTCTGAAGACTACGTTCGCGCGTACAACTATGAAGGCAAAGGGTCTTTGGCCGGCTCAGTAGGCTGTTGCAGTGATCGGCAGGAAGAAGAGGGCCTAGAGTTTCTAGATCATCTAGAACCCAAATTTAGGACGTTGGCAAAGACATGCGTAAATAAATAAATGTGGTTTCCAATAGAATAACAGCTACCAATGCCCGTGTGGGAGTTAATGGCTGTGAAATGACAGCAGCTTCTGCTAATATTGTTGATTGGAGGTAGAGATAAGAGTACTATAAATACCAAACTCCCCTAAATTCTCCTTGTCTGATGTAACTTCCCTGTTCTCTAGAAAGCAAGGTGTTGTTTGTTAATTTTCTTTTATACGCATGTATATATTGCCCTTTTCAAGACTGTCCTGTCTTGCACCTTCTAATTGAAAACTATTGTTTTGTGTGCTATGGAAAAGCGTGTGGGAGAGCTGGGTATCGTGGAGCCTAATGAAAGACGAATTTGCACTTCAGATGTACAAATTAAATGTTTTCTTCCAAATTTTGGAGAGAATTACATTCTTAGAAATATTTTCTTTGGTGCCAGAGAATTACGTCCTCTCCAAAGTGGGCTTAGAAAGGATTTTTGGTTATTCTTAGGTGCGGTTTTGGGTTTGGTGAATAAGCAGCGCGTTTTTCATACACTTTTCCCTCCTCCGAGTGCTCTCCCTGGGTCCTTGGCTCTCTGCCAGTGTCAGTGTGTTATCAGGTTTCTACAGCTGCTAGGGTTGTTGGGCAGACAAGAACCAGCACAAGCTCATGGCAACTTGAGCTGCAGAGATTTTACATGGATTACTTGAGAGTATGTCCATGAAAGAATTGCAACCCTGAGGCGCATGGGTTGATTTAGGCTCACAAATAAGTTTTGTTTACTCAACATGATGTACTATTGTTATTAAAATATAAATACCTTGCCAGCATCATTCATTCTGCAGCTTGAGATAAGCCCACTGGGGCCTTCATCTGGCATCTCCAAGCCTTTGGCTGAGTAGCCCTGAAGCTTTAGGCAGCAACCCTGACACAGAGACATTCCTTAGCCCTTGGAATATGCCAAAAACTTTGGTTACCATCCATATTGGAACATAATACTCAGTCTACATTAGCAATTGCTTTAAGAAAGTAGAAAATCAGAAACAATGACTGGCATATATACATTAAAAAAGTAAAATCTATTACACCAACACTGACCAAACATGTTTTGAATGATGGAGAAATGAATGCACACATTAGTAATTAAATTATTAGAATGTCTAATATTTTATTAGGATATTATATTTTGCTGATGTAAAAAAGAAACTACATAATTCAATAGTATTTTAATAGTCATTTGTGGCAAAGCCTATCAATCTATAAACAATAATAGTATATGTCCCATGGAAATTTCTCATCTACATAAAAAGTGGGTTTTTAAAAAAATCTATGAACTAGTTAACTATTGAAAATGAGTGGTTGTTTCTTTTAAATTTCATGACATCTTATTGTCAGATATGTTTCTTATTAAAGAGGCTTCTTGAGATGAAGTTGAATATTGGAACAAAAGAAAAAAAAATTTTTGCAAGTCAGATTTTAGTTTATAAAGTGTCCATAACATATGCACTGTATAGCCATTATAAGATAATTTGTGGGGATGGTGCAATTTTTGTCATGCTACTCTGACAATGATCCTAGTTCTAAAATTTTTTAAATATAACATTATAAATTTGGAAATATAATATTGTAAGTTATGTTCTTAAATGGAGGTACAGAATGTTCTTGGAGCAATTAAAAATCATTAGCCAATCACTAATTTACATGTGTTTGTCTTTCTATTTCTTTTATACTTGTTTAGGTATGGAAGAGAAAATATATAACACAAAGTACAATTAATGTCCAAACATAGATTTTTCAATCACCAAGAAAAGGCACTCTAAGAATGTTAGAAGAATTATTAGAAAGTGTGGGAAATGAGTTTGTATTAGTTTGGATTGTTAACAATGTTTTCAAAGTATCATTAACTTTTATCTCACAGAGAAACTTTGACCGTATTTTAATTTATGTAGGCAATTCAAAGTCATTCTCTAATTGTCTCCCAAATTAAATGTTAATCATATGATTGATAAAATTTATGAAACTCCACTAGACTATTTACAAATTTAGTTTGTTAATAAAAGAAATAAAACATTGTATTTTGTGGATTTGTCAGTTAATTGTCCATAAATTAATGGTTATGAATTGTTTTTCTGTAATTCAGTTTACAGTGAGAAAAGTACACAATTCAATTTACCTTTTCTCATTTCAGATCTCAAATATTTCATGTGAAAAAATT